TCATTATCATCATCATCATTATTATTATTATTATTATTATTATAGTGACCGTGATCTCACTGCTCTTAATTACATCATTCCTCCTTCATCTGACACTCCCTATGATATGTCTGACATCATCAAAGCTGTTGTGGACGAGGAAGAGTTCTTCCAAATAATGCCCGACTACGCTAGGAATATAATAGTGGGATTCGCCAGGTTGAACGGACAGACAGTGGGTGTGGTCGCTAACCAGCCCAATCAAAAAGCAGGTCAGTTGTTAGTATTGTATGTATGTACATGTACAGTATAGCCTCTCTTAATGGTCATTGTCTATTGCTTACACCTCCATTTAATGGACAGCACCTAGTGTACCAATTACATTCCTTACTGTATAAAATAACCTCCACATAAAAGACACCTCTGTATAACAGAGGCACTTTCAAGTGTCCATTATATAGAAGCTAGTCTGTAGTTGTTGTAATTGACCAATCAGATTGCTTGATTTTAAGTTTCTTAATGACTTACACTACCAAGTTTATCATCATCATCATCATTCTTTTAAATTTATTATTATTATTATTATTATCATTATTATTATTATTATTATTATTAATAGGTTGTTTGGATATTAATGCATCAGTTAAAGGTGCTCGGTTTGTTAGGTTCTGTGATGCTTTTCGTATTCCACTGATAACCTTCGTTGATGTACCGGGATTTCTACCAGGTAACCATGACTGTAGCTGTAATGTCTTCTGATACATATTGATGTACGTACTTATGCTGTGTAGCAAGTTTGAATTGATTCCGACTTCAATTTTTCAAGTTACGGCCATTTTAAGAAAGTGCCAAAATTCTGAAAAGTACCCAAGGCTATAGCCCATGATTTTTTTCAAAAAATGGCTCCAAAATCACCCCAAATTTTTATTAGATTTTTTGATACATATTGATGTCCTTATGCTGTGTAGAAAGTTTGAGCTGATTCCGACTTCAATTTTTAGAGTTATGGCCATTTTAAGAAAACGTCAAAAATCTGAAAAATACCCAAGGCTATAGCCCATGGTTTTTTCCAAAAAATGGCTTCGAAATCACCCCAAATTTTTATTAGATTTTCTGATACATATTGACATCCTTATGCTGTGTAGCAAGTTTGAGCTGATTCTGACTTCAATTTTTAGAGTTACGGCCATTTTAAGAAAACGTCAAAAATCTGAAAAATATAGCCCATGGTTTTTTCCAAAAAATGGC